GAGTGATGCGTGTGGGACATCCAGGGTGATCCAGTGTACGTGAACAGTGAGATGTTTGGGCGCTGAGGTCGCCATAGCCAATTGAGAGTGAACTCATGTCTGAGAGCCATATCTCTGAGTTTTGAGTGGGCGCATGTCGCCAGTATGCTGTGTTGCTGTTTACATGCATGAAAAGTGTGTTTGAGAACGAGTCTGATTGCAGGTACAGGCCAGTGTGATCACGCTAAAGGGCTGTTGGAATCTATAAGCGGGCCTGAATCTGCGCAGTGGCCCTTCTAGGGCTCACCCCACATCTCAGCTGAGGCCCCGTACAGACTTGTGCCTGCCCCAAGTGAAGGCTGGCCATATTATTTACGAGAGGCCTGTTTTTGTCAATTCTGCATGTCGGGTATCAGACAGTTGCAGCACACCGGTTGGTTACAGAGTAACGTGAGCCTTTTTCTTGGCTCATTCCGGCAGCAGCAGCTCGAGAGGCAGTTGATCCCAGGGCACGTACAGTTGACGCCCTGGGTTCACGCCACTAGAGGCTGACACATCACAGAACGGCCGTGGGCCAATGAGAATGCAGCATCTTCATCACACACTGGCCAGAAGCCAATGAGATCGCGGCGGACACTTGTAGCCTCGTGGGCTACCTGGGCATGCCCAAATGTAAAGGGGGCCAGGCCCGTGACAGCAACTGGGGACCTGGGCGCAAACACTAGGGCCCGACTGGAAGCTACTGGAAACTCGTCCAGCCAGGCCCAGAGCTCGACAAAGCAGAGCTCACTTTCATAAAGAAAGTTGAGCATGGCATCCAGGGGGGATTCTGGCCATGTGCTTGCTGGCGGCAACGCTGCTGGTTTGAGCGCCGGAGGCCACTGGTAGGCCAAGGGCAGGAAGAGGCACACATGGGCGCATTGTGGTGTTGGGCGCTGCCAGTGCAGCGGGCGCTGAGCAGCCATATCCGGGCTTGCTCAGCGGAGGCTGGTGATGGTGATGGTGGCCCTTGGGTGTCGGGGATGCACAATGGGAAGTCAAGGGGTGATGTGAGAGGAGAGAGAACGTACCCAGTGTATGCTGGCGATCTGCATTGGTGATGACTTCATGTACATTGGTCTTCGACTTCGATGTGATCCAGTTGCATGAACGTAGAGAGGCATAGATAGGCTGAGTAGTGTAGGCTGGGCGCTGGGCGCCAGACAGTAGGAGCGGCATTGGATATGAGTTCATTGTATTGCTCTTATTTGGATGGTACCTTGGTGCATTGTGCTCTCTGCTTGGTACATGACTATCTGGGCTACTTCGTGATTTTGCAGTCTGGACTTCTGTCTATCGCTCTCACTCATATTCCTTGCATTCATCAGACACATAAATAAATAAAAAATTATTAAATGGCTGGGCCACCCGGGACCCCCCCTGGGCGACGGCCCGGTCGCCGGCCGGCACAGTTGGCCAGTTCTTTGTAGCAATATTGATGACTTCGGGAACGTCTGACGAAACAGTCTGTCACAGTCCGCTGTCTTTTGTACTTTTTGGAGAGTATTCAGCCATAGCTGCTGCAGGAGACCAGTGGCTGCTTGTGCTCAGCGGTCTTCATCAAAGACTTATATATAAGTCTGGTGCCTTACGGAGCAGGGTCTGTGGTGTGGATAGGAAGGAGGAGGCAGACGTTGGAAGAAGGGTAGGCAGAAAGGAAGAGTAAGCCTACCTGTTGGTTGACAGACAGAGCTACCTGAAGAAAAAGACTCCAAAAGGAGGAAGAGAGAATGGAGAGGGTGTGGCGCAGGTGTTGGTGAGGTGAGGGAAGGTCACCATAGGTTCAGGGTTCCAATGTGGTCATGATTGAAGGAGGTGACTCCATGCTGTTCTACAAGTCAGGTTTTGCCATTTCAAGTGCCGGCATTATTGTGCTAGCCTTGGATAGGCCAACCCTCGAGAGATTAGCTTGGAGAGACATTTTGTCTGGTTTTGTGGTGAGAAGCAAGCCGATAGATAGTGGATACATGGAAGTGGTGAGAGAGGAACCACAATGAAGGAGGAGGAGGAGCAACTTGAAGATTGTGCTCATACATTTCCAAAGATATTTTCATGCTCTTGCTCTTCTTCTTCACACAGTCTTGTTGTTCATTTGGTATCTCAGCTTGGTTGTAGTCATTGATTTGATCCTCGTGAGCTTATGCACGGCTTGATTGTGAACTTCTGTAGTTGGGTTTGTTACAGCAAGAAGAACAAGAAGAAGAAGAAGAAGAAGAAGAAGAAGAAGAAGAAGAGAGGGTTCTATGAGCAACTCGAGGTTCTATGAGCAACTCGCTTAAGGGTGTGTTCTCTTTTTTGGAGGTAATCCAAGCAGTAGGTGGACTAGTTGCACTCGTACTTGAGTACTCCAGCACTGCACCTTCTGCTATGAACCGCACAGTTCATCACTAATGAGTGCACACATATACATGCATCAAACACAAGTGGAATGACACGAAATCACACACTGAATACCAGAGAGTAGTAAACCAGGTAGCGCAGCTTATAACTTCCAACAAGTTACCATAAGAGCACTAAGAGTTCATGTCACCTGCGCTCGTCACCGCATTCAAAGGTAACCAATAACCAGCAACAACTCTCAGGTCAGTAACTCTCTCCACCTCTTCTTCTCTCACTGGTCTTCTCTCTAGCTATATTCCCACTGTGTCTTCTCTCCCTACATGCATGCACACTCACTACTATTACTCAAGGATCTACTCTGGATACACCCACTGCTATGCCTACTAACTACTACTAGCTAACGCTAAAACTCTGCACTGGTGCAGCTATGGCTGCCTTCTCCCTGCCAGCGCTAACTCTTCCTCTCTCTCTCTTCAGCACAGCACTCTGGCTCAGCGCTCTGCCCCTCACAATGGCGCACAAGTGCACCAGCACTTCCACACTTCATGCGAATGAGCAATCTGCCTGAATGAGGAGGCTGGCCAGTCCTTTTGTAGTCTTGGATTGCACTTCAACTCGTGCCAGCCTCTGCTTCTTGGGGCCTGACTGGTTCTGGTACCATATCCCCACGGCCTGTCTGCATTTGAATGTCAAGGCCTGGAACCTTCCCGAATTTCCATTGGTCTGCTGCTGTCTGGGCCTGAGAGTCACGACTTTTCACTTGTATACATGACTTTTGACTGTGGACTGTGACTCCTGCCTCTGGGACACGACTCTTGCCTGGGAAACTGTCCTTTGCCTGTGGAATGTGACTTTTCAATATGACTCTTTAATATGAGACGTGACTTTTACCCTTGGGATGTGACTGTTCATCGGGTGCCTGTTGGATTTGACCTTTAAGGTACCCGACTGTGACTCTTCTGAAACTGACCGACTTGGACTTTCTTGACCCAGGCCTCTGACCCTGAAGCTCGAATTTGGGGTCTAAATCGTGGAAAGCCTTTCCCTTCCAACAGGGGGGAGAAGATTCCTCTAGCTATTAGTTGGGCCAGAAAGTGATCCAGGTAATGATGAAAAGGCACAGTGAATCAGGCATGGTAACCGAACGGACGTCCGGACCGGGTTCCAGACAGTTCGGAACAACATGTCCAGGTACGGTGTCCGGTCCGTGATGTCCGGATGGAGGCCCCCAGGGCGAAAAAAAAAAAAAAAAAAAGGGCGGCCCAGGACGTTGTTGGGGTCCTGACCACCCCTTGAAAAATAACGGGGTGATTTCTCAGTGTCGCGTCACCCCACCGGACAGGGCCTAGAGGCCCGGACACAAGACACTGCAGGTTTTTGGTGTAGCGGGTTTCACACAGGCCCTCACAATTTCAAAGTGGCCGTTTTGGAAGTGCTGCCCGCCACTGCTGCCCATTGGGGGGAGAGAGAGAGAGAGAGAGAGAGAGAGAGAGAGAGAGAGAGAGAGAGAGAGAGAGAGAGAGAGAGAGAGAGAGAG